TGGAGCCTTGCTAGGAGAGTGTACTCACTGGAGGAAGATTCAACATTTTGTACCATTGCCCCATTTCCTTTTTCTTCTCTGCTTGATTCTGCAGGGCAGTATGAAAATCACCTGGAGGCTGCTTCCTCTGGTTTGTATTCCTTGCAACATTAAGTTGTTTCTTTCCAAGTCGTTTCTGATGATCAGACTTATTAGCAATTAATAAAAAGAAGTAACTCTTAAAATCAACATAATCTGTAGGTTTTGAAACAACTTTGATGGACAAATGAGGCAGAGTTTGGTATTGGGGAATAGAAAGTCATTAAATGATGAAAGTGTATAGTACTGGGTATTGAGGGTTTTCTTATTTTTTGTTTTTTGTTTGTTCTGTGTGGGTTTTTTTTTTGTTTCTGGTTTTGTTTTGTTTTGTTTTTTGCTTGATAGGGAAGACCAGAAAACAAAGAGAATTACTAAAAGTGGAGGTCAAGTTCAAGAGGGTGCACAGAAAAACATGGACTCTAGAAGCTCCTGGCCTTGAAGTTTTTCACATGATAGTCTGACAAAGAATCTGCTGTATTTTTTTGACATGTAGACTGAGACTGAATTTTAACAGGGTGGAATAATGAGCTTGGCAGAGGAAATTTCAAAGGAGAGAAAAATTAGACTGAGGATGATTGTGGCTCACAATTCTAATCCAGATCCAAATAATAAAGAGCAATAAATACAGTAGGAATATAATATTAAAAATGTTCAGTTTTTTGGCAAATAAATGGCTCACACACTCTAGGAAAAGCTTGTTCTTGGAAAGCAATTGTGATACTTAAAGAAAAAAACCTATTTCTAATCACTGAGACAAATAACAAACTGTCCTAAAGGGATTGTTCCACACATCATAGGCTTCACTTCATGAAAATAAACATTCAATTTAAAAGACAAAAATCACTGAAGTAATTTCCTGGACTTAAAAAGGAACTTTCTGAAGCAGGATTTCTTCAAGACCAACATGACAAGCAGCTCTGAAGAGCTGCAAACTTCACAGGTTAGACCTTTAAAGAGTTAAAACATATTACTCTTATAAGAAAAATCAGAAAATAAATCATTGAGGTATGTGCTATTCAACATGAAACAATAGCAAAAGGAATTTTTTGGCTTTTATTTTTTAATTAATTAATTTATTTATTAAAGATTTCTGCCTCCTCCCCACCACCACCTCCCATTTCCCTCCCCCTCCCCCAATTAACTCCCCCTCCCTCATCAGCCCAAAGAGCAGTGAGGGTTCCCAGCCTTGTGGGAAGTCCAAGGACCTCCCACCTCCTTCCAGGTCTAGTAAGGTGAGCATCCAAACTGCCTAGGCTCCCACAAAGCCAGTATGTGCAGTAGGATCAAAACCCAGTGCCATTGTTCTTGACTTCTCAGCAGTCCTCAATGTCCGCTATGATCAGCGAGTCCAGTTTTATCCCATGCTTATTCAGACCCAGTCCATCTGGCCTTGGTGAGTTCCCAATAGAACATCCCCATTGTCTCAGTATGTGGGTGCACCCCTAGCGGTCCTGACTTCCTTGCTCATGCTCTCTCTCCTTCTGCTTCTGATTTGGACTTTGGGATTTCGGTCCGGTGCTCCAATGTAGGTCTCTGTGTCTGTCTCCTTTCCTCGCCTGATGAAGGTTAATATTCAGGAGGATGCCTATATGTTTTCCTTTGGGTTCACCCTCTTATTTAGCATCTCTAGGATCATGAATTATAGGCTGAATGTCCTTTATTAATGGCTAGGAGCCAATTATGAGTGAGTACATCCCATGTTCCTCTTTTTGGGTCTGGCTTACCTCACTCAGGATAGTATTTTCTATTTCCATCTATTTTCCATCCATCTATTTCCATCCATGCAAAATTCAAGAAGTCATTTTTTTTACTGCTGAGTAGTACTCTAATATGTATATATTCCATACTTTCTTCATCCATTCTTCCATTGAAGGGCATCTAGGTTGTTTCCAGGTTCTGGCTATTACAAACAATGCTGCTATGAACATAGTTGAGCATATACTTTTGTTGTATGATAGGGCATCTCGGGTATATTCCCAAGAGTGGTATTGCTGGGTCCAGGGGTAGGTTGATCCCGAATTTCCTGAGAAACCATCACACTGCTTTCCAAAATGGTTGTACAAGTTTGCATTCCCACCAGCAATGGATGAGTGTACCCCTTTCTCCACAGCCTCTCCAGCAAAGGCTATCATTGGTGTTTTTGGTTTTAGCCATTCTGACAGGTGTAAGATGGTATCTTAAAGTTGTCTTGATTTGCATTTCCCTTATCGCTAAGGAAGTTGAGCATGACCTTAAGTGTCTTTTGGCCATTTGAACTTCTTCTGTTGAGAGATCTCTGTTCAGCTCAGTGCCCCATTTTATAATTGGGGCAATGATTAGCATTTTACAGTCTAGTTTCTTGAGTTCTTTATATATTTTGGAGATCAGACCTTTGTCAGTTGCGGGGTTGGTGAAGATCTTCTCCCAGTCAGTGGGTTGCCATTCTGTCTTAGTGACAGTGTCCTTTGCTTTACAGAAGCTTCTTAGTTTCAGGACAAAAGGAATTTTAGTAGATCTCCATTTGTGTTCTGGAATAACTTTTCTGAAAGATTATTCCGGAAAGATGCAGTAATAATTTGGAATATAGATGATCTGTTGTCAGTCACTCCTGCATTGTTCTATATGCAGGAAATATTATTATATACCTCTAATGTAGTCATACAATAAAATGTGAAATAACTTAAGGATTTTTAAAATTATAAAATAGTCTTAGGATAGTAGTTTAGAGTTAGAATGCCTACACTCTACATATTCAATTAAATTCTCATAAAAAATTCAGTCCTATTATCACAGACATGGAAAACATGATCTTAAAATTCTGGAAACAAAAGAGATCACAGATATCTAAAAGAGTTATAAGGAATGAGAAATAATAATACTAGAAGGATCGCATAACCGAGTTGAAGTTGTAATGTGTAACCATAGTGATAAAACTATCATGGCATAAGCTCAGAAACAACCACATAAATAAATGGAGTAAAATAGAGGGTCCACACAAAAGCCAACAGGACGAATAGTGGTTAGGTTATTGGAGTTGTTCTTGGTTTCCCACTAGAAATAAACAGTAAGAACTATTACTTAGGGTAGTTTGGAGACAGGACATAGAGAAATCAAACCATAACTGAGCTGGATGTTTCCTTCTAGGTTGCTAGTTTCTTTTGTGTTCAGAATTTCTATGCAGACTCTGAAGGTTCAAATTTATCAAAGGACATATCTAGCTGTAAATTCTGTCAGCTACAAAGCCAAAATGCCAGGCAAGATGTACCCACTAGTACATTGGTAGCATAATTGATATAGAGATAATCAAACCATAACTGAGCTAGATGTTTCCTTCTAGGTTGATAGTTTTCTTAGTTTTGAAAGGTTCTATGCAGACTTTGAGGATAGAAAAGTCATCAGAGGACATATCTAATGATAAATTCTGTCAGCTACAAAACCAACATGCCAGGCAAAATGTACCCACTAGTATAGAGATAGCATAATGGCTATGGAGATAATCAAATCCATAATGACTGGATTGCATACTCACTTCACAAGAGGAAATCTTACCTGGTACTCTAAACCTAACCAAAAGCTCATAGTTCATTATGTAAATGAACTTTTGAGAAAAACTACTATGGATCTTTTGCTAAGCAGACATTATTGTGTCTATTTTCTACATGGTTATGTTCATACCATTGAGTTGGATTGTTCTAACCCTTGGTCAGTAAAGTTTCCTTTTCTGTGGGTGACAGATAAAGCAGAGACTCATACTGGTCAAAGTGATAACATTAAGAGACTGATGAGCACTCATCCTAGAAAGGGACATGTTGGGAGCAGTGAGACCCCAGATCCTGAGTTTCTTCTAATTCCCTGATCTGAGTGCCTACAGCTGCTCTGAGCATGAGACCTTCAAGAGTTCCTGATGGCAGGAGAGTGGTTTCTGGTGGGTTTGGCTGGGGCGTGGCTATCTCTATATAATCTGCCCCTGAACACAATAAAGGGGGCATTCTTGGGGAATTCAAGGATGACCCGTGTCGCTGTCTCTCTGTCTGTGTGTGTCTGTGTATTTTAACCTCCAGCTCCATTGCCTGAAGCTCGCAAACTGGGTAATAGGGCAGGGAGCGCAGACACGGGGGCCGGTGCACGGCAATGACATCTATAAAACCCCATTCAAAGATTAAGGAATATCATAGAAGTGGCGGTGGAAAGAAAGCAAAAGAACAGGATTGAAGGGAGTGTTGTGAGATGATGTCATTGGTACATGAAAGGAATCTTGCTTTCATAAACTCTGCGAGTACTGACTAACTACACAAGTACTGCTTGATACTTGGCACACAAAGATTCAACTACGGATTGGCCCCATCCCTTCTTGGGAGGCTATAAGCAATTAGCAGTTGCTAACATGGGGTAGATTATATTCCTCAGTGTTTTATACACTGGCCATTTGCTTTTGTTCAAGTAATAATGTTCAAGTAATAACTTTCTACCCATGCTCTTGCAGGCAGCCCTACCTAAGAGCAGTTGGTCAAAAAAAGACATAAAAAAACGGGGAAGGGAATGTTTGTATTGAATAAGAAGAAATCTGGTGAAAATGGGAGAGAAATGGAAGAAAAGGAAATGAATAAGATCAAAGTGATTATATATATACATATGTGTGTGTGTGCGCATATGAAAGAAGAGAAAATAGGGTACTATGAAACAAATGGTACTTGAGATAAAAACAATATGTTTCTCAGGATATCTTCATAGATCTGAGAATTGCCATTAACAAAGAATTTAAAGATAATCTGAAATATTTTAAAATCCCTGTATGTAATTTTCACAAAATTACATTGATTTCAATAGCATTTTTTACCAAATCAAGAACATTACTGTTACAGATTTTATAAGTGTGAATGAAGTATAAAAATTAAGTTATGCAAAAGAAAAGAAATACAAATGATTGATGCTCTCAGTATGAATTTATTTTAAATTTTAGAGTTTTGATTCTACATGGATTGCAATAAATGGGTCTTCGGCAGTGTTACTAATAGAAAACTGTGCAGTGCCATCACCGGAAACATAGACTTTAATTCCGGTGCAATAGCCATCAATTTTATCTCCAGAAATGATGTCACAGTATGTACCAGCTGGGAGACCAGTTTGTAAAGTTGTTGACAATGACCTGAAAAGGAAAAAGAGTCAAATTCAAACAAATTCAAGAAAGCAGACCATCTCTAAATTAAGTAACTTCCTAAACTGTGTGGTGTGTAATTATAAGTTATAATTTACTAGCCATAAAGATAGACAGATCGATATAGATAGACAATAGATAGATAGATAGATAGATAGATAGATAGATAGATAGATAGACAGACAGACAGACAGACAGACAGACAGACAGACAGACAGACAGATAGATAGATAGATAGATAGATAGATAGATAGA